TTCCTGCTCGCCAGTCACTGTAAGGACTAACGGAATGTAATGTTCCGTATGAGCAAATAAATACAGGCTGTGCGGCAGACATTTCACCCCAGAAATGTTCCAATGTGTAAATAAGTCATATTTCGAAAGCAGTATCTCTGTTGGGTTGAAAGAGATGACATTTTTCTATAACATCAATGAATTTATTTTGTTACCAAGATCTAATAACCTGTCTGAGAAATTGGGTCTGCGGTTCCACTTTAAAACGCTTGACAGATTTGCAGGGTGATGAAGATAATTAAAAACTCTGTAATGTTATAATATTCGTAGTGACCCTTTCATTATTAATTTAACATTAAAAACACCTCAGGGTTGTGGTCTGACTTTGTGTACAGATGTTTTCGGAGTATAGTTCTACTTGGTCAGTGTTTCCTACATTCTTACAACTGTTTTGCTGAATATTTGGTGCTTATAGCGGAATATTCACACTGTAAAATAAGGAGTATAAAACTAAGACTTATGTGACTTATGCAGTTGAAATTTTTGACCTTGTAGTAATAATCCATATTACCTTATTGAAATAGGCAAGGGTACAGCATTGTTTGCTTATGAACAGTAAATTGTTTAGTCTTGTTCAAGTCTTGAGCTGTAAAAATTAAAACGGTGGAAAAGGAACTGTGGAATGGAACGTTTCCGCAGCTCAGTTTTATTAATGTGCCCCATGCTAAAACAAACTCGGTTTGCTGTTGATCTTGTCAATTCTCCTACCAGTGAAATGGATGTCTGCTTGGGATCTAGGTACTGCTGTCCTAGAGTCCCCTGCTGTTTGGCAAGAACAGTGTTTCATGGATTTTGATGTCAGTAAATTTATATTGTGAGTTTGGGCATTACTGCTTTGCTTTTCTCTCTCACTACCTGTGTCCAGTCTCCAGATAGAGCAAAAGTATCCATTCAAAGTCCCACCTGCCAACAGCTTTTGTGGTTTAAATTGGTTGTACTGAGAGAGTGATTCTGCCCAGTAGTTGAACACTTTGACCTTGTAGTAATAATCTAAACTAGTATTTAATAAAGCTGACCCAATTACAGCAGAACCTTCTATGCTTTTTAGCAATGTGCAATAGTTTTTAGATGTTTTTTGGGGTCATGCTGACTTATAACTAAAGTTTTATATTTATAATTTGTCTTCTTTTCAGTGCTAAAACTATAAATCAAAATTACCATAGGGTGAAATCAATGTTTTAATTGCACACAATGTTAATACTTTAAAGTGGTTTACTTGCAGAAAAAAGATGCAGAAAAATGTCATTTAGTACGACACGTTTGAGGCATTCTAAACCACAGTTGTGAAAAATCATGGTCTTACAAGCTTTGCAAAATCTGGTAAAAACTTCACTACTCACTATTGTCAGTTTAATAATGGAGTCATTTGCGGATTTAAAACAGTTGAGAATTGCTTGGGAAACATCAATGAGAAGTCTAGTGAGTGGTGTGAAAACAATTTTGGTCCTCCTACATTAGGAACATAGCTTAGAATACTGGTGGGCTTTTAACCTTGTTTTCTTCTTAATAACATCAGATGAAAAGCCGGCAGAAGTTGCTAAGAAAAAAGTCAAAACAAAAGGTACTTTCCTGATCGCTTTTTATTCTCCCTTGGGAATAAAGTGACTGCAAGCTAAGTGTGAACTGTATACTTTTTAAAAAAAAATAAATTGAATTTTGCTTTGCATGACCTCAATAGTTATAGATCGGGGGTAGATACAGTATGTTAAGCATTGGTTCAAAGCATAGATACACCAAACTGAATACTCCAAAAAATTTTAATGGTCTTCATCTGTATCCCATTAAATTTGAATTTCAAGTGCATTATTTTCAATATGTGAACATCATACGTAATATCTTTCAAATTTTACCACTACTTTTTTAATTACTGTTGATGTAAGAAGGGATGTGTAACAACTTAATTGAGTTTTAGTTTGGTGTTGCATGAAGTAGCAGTTTGGTTTTTATTTTAAGTACTCTTTGTATGATAATTGAGTGTATATAATAGTACTAATAAAGCTATTCCCAAAATGTAATGTGTGCTGTTCTTTTTGTTGTTTCTCTTAACTTTTTTGCTTTACAGAAATGGCTTGTACTCTAGACTTTACCCAGTTTGTCTGCTTATGGGCTGTTTATCTCATTTGGCTCAGAAATAATGGGCTTTATTAATTAACACATATGGAACTATGGAAACACCCCCCTACTATCCAGGTTATTAAAAAAGTAACTTAATGGCCTGCTGAAATTTGTAGTTTTCTACAGAGCAGGAATTTTTATTGACCATCTGTATTTCTCAAATGTTTCCAGAGATATTTGTGTCTGCTCTTATTTAGAGCTGTTCTCAAAAAGGTTGATTTTAATTTATAAGGTTAGCTATTTTTCTTAATAGCCTTTCTTGTTTTCTGTAGTATTAGGTTTTTAATTGCATAGCATTCTGTGAGTCAACCTCTATGAATAAAACTGGAATTTTTATCCAGTACTGATTGTGTAGAGATTGTGGCGCTTAGTTTTTCTCTTGGTAATCGGTGCTTATGAAACTCATGTTTCCATTTTTCCAATATTGCGTTCTTGTAAAATATCTGGTAATTACCACTTAAACCTCCTTGTATTTTTGCATTTCATCCATGAATGTATGAAAACTTAAAATGCTTGTCTGGATTGTTTGGGTATATAGTGGCCCAGATATTTTACAGCTTTTGTCCTGGTGCAGGGCATTATGGGCGTGTTTGCGGTGGTATTTAGTACTTAGACTTTCCTTAATGGTTCAAGTCACATTTTTTAACCTCCAGCTCACCCTTCGCCGAAGGACATTGGGAAAAAGTTGAGGGAGGCCTTAAAAGAGCAGTTGAGGATAGTACGGGAGAAGGTCCAGGCTAAAAAGAAAGAAAAGCTCACGTTGGCAAAAGCTGAAGACAAGAAAGCCAAGGCTGCAGAGGAACACAGGAAAGAAAAGGAAAGGAAGGAAAAAAGAGAAGCGTTAAGGGCAGAAAAAGTGAGAAAGGAGGCAACGGTGAAAAGAGAAAAGGCCAAGACTGAGGAGAAAGCCAAGACCAAGGAAAAAGTGGGCACAGAAAAGAAGGCTAAGCCCAAGGAGAAGGAGGAGAAGCGAAGGAAAGAGGACAAGAAGGAGAGAGCAGACCAGAAGAAAGAAGTGAAAAGGGAGAAGAAAGAGGAAAAGAAAGACAAACCAGAGAAAAAAGAGAAGGAGAAAGAAAAGGACAAAGGAAAAGAGAAGAAACCCGCCACTAAAAGGGAGGGCACTGGTGCTAAAGACGTAAAGAAGTCGGACAAATTGTCCAAAGGCGGCGAGAAGAAAGCAGAAAGGAACGTGAAAAGCTTGGGCAAGAAAGAAGAAAAGGAAAAGGGCTTGAAAGACGCAAAGAACAGAGAAGAGAAGACGTCTGGCAAGAATTCTCCAAAACCAGCAGCGAAAAAGGAGACTGAAAAGAAGAGGGATAAGAAATGAGCGGTCTCGTCGCTAATGCGGGATTGAGAAACGGTGAAAGCTGTAGCCTCCTTTACCGAGCCACGTGGAGAATGGAGCCTGGAAGGTTGAACCGGAAATGGAATCCAGTCGGTGCTGAGATGCCTCTTCTGGAATGGGATGGAATGAGCAGATAGTAGTAATGTAGCATACTTTTATCTAGTAGTGCATTGGTAGTCCTTTACTTTGGTAACAGATGCCGTCCCCAAAGAAGCACAAATGTTGGCTTTCATTTTTTTTTGCAAAGTAACCTGTGGAGTGTACAGAATGTTGCCTAAAAGCTACTAAAGAGTAATTATAAGACGAAATGTACCAATACAGTATTATTACTGTGTTTTTATAAATGTGTATAATATTAAGCTGTAACTTATTTTATAATCATTCAAGTTACTGAGGTCTCTGGTTTTACTACCCAGATGGTTTGATGTTATAAAGGTAGCGTGTAGTGTAATGAATGTCTCTCATGCTAGAAATTGCACACTTCGATTTCATGTAGATATCTTTCAGAGGAAAAGGCATTTGTATAAATTATTGGAGAAAATTTGACGTATGTACTGGTATTGAATAAACCTGCAGGATTTTACAGATTTCATCTCTTTCATTTCTGTCTTGGAATATCACACAATAGAGATCCAGCAAGAGTTTTTTTTTTGCAAGATGCAATGAATATTGATTTAATTATTTTGCAAGGTACAGTCTGTAGTCGTGTTTTGTTTCTTTAAAATAGTAAATTTACCAGAACGTGCTCAATGTTTCTTTTAAAGAGTCTGTCTGATGAAAAGCAAACTCACTCAGATGGGTGTACTGCTGGGATTAACTCAGATTCATGCAGTGAAAATGATTTCAGGAGCCGTGTTGCCTCATAGCTCAAAAATCCAGAATTTGATTAGAGCTTCAGGTGTTCCAAATTGCAATCACTTTGTACTCCGCTTTGAGATGGACAGCCGTTCAGTCGTGTGCTGTGTCTGGTTTTGTGCCCTGTGTTTCCAGGATAGGCTCTGGCCTTCTGTGAGCCTCTCCAGGAGGAGTGGCTTCTTGTAGGCGGACGAATTTCTTTTCAGATATTGTACTTACACGAGCTCAGAGCTTTTTTTATCTAGCAGACTCGGTCAGTTAACATCCAGAATTTCTAAGAAAATGAAGGAAATGGAAACCAGATATGTTTATAAATTATTATTATTATGCTTTATTCTTATTCTGCTTTAACTAGCTCCGCTCAACTTTTATCTTGCCTTTCACTTCAGCTCTGTTTTGAAATTAGTCTCCTTTTTTCTTTTTTTGTTTTTTTTTAAACCAAAGAACAAAAGTGAACCCAAGTCAGACATTTTTTTCCATGAGGGTGGTGACTGTAATTTTTTGTTTTGGTATTAGTATTTATTTATTAATGTAAAAGCAATGAACTATGATTGAATGGCAGATTTAGAATGCCTATTATTTTACATATTTAAGATCTGGCCTATGTTTACTCATGTAATAAATGTCTTAGCTTCTACAAATTTGATTTTTTTAATTAAAAACATTCAACAATTTCTTGCTTTAAAAAACAGGTCCTGTTTCTGAGGTGTAAAATCTTGAAAACTTGCAACATAATAAAAAAAAAAAACTTGGATAAATTCTAGTAGCACAATTATTATGAGAACCTGGGAATCATTGTAATGGCTAAGATTTCATGAGTCAACGTTTACAACTTTAGGATTAAAAGAGAAACCTGTTGCCTTGGAGTCAACATCAACAGAAGCTGCTGAGGAGGTCGCACAGCCACTTGAGGAAGCAGGTAAAATTTACACACATTACTGGAACATTTGAGGTAGTTGTGGTCTTCAGTTCATGTATTCAACACGGTAATCAAGTGACAAAACCTAAAGGTTCTAGTCATTAGAAGAAAGAAGCATATAAAGTTTAGTGCCAGTTTAGGATTAAAACATTGATCATTTTTGAGAATGATTGTTTGGCATAGAGGCGTGTTGCTTTTCAATGTTTTGAAGGCAGATGACCTGGAAAATAGTTAAAAAGTTACAATGGATATGAGGCGATTTAGACTATCTTGCCCTTTTGGTGGTTAGTGGTTGATTGATCCAAGAATCTCAATCGGCTGTCTCTTGAAAGAAACCAGGTTACTGGCTTCAGCATTGGGATGGGGTAGCTGTTTCCATACACGGCCGTTTGCAAAAAGAAGGGCCTTCTGTTTGCAGTTTCATATACACTTCCACTTAGTTTCCACTTGTGTCCTCCGATTCAAGTTTCACTGTTCACTATGAAAGCATCTAGAGATTTAATCCACTTGGAACAATATGTAGGGAGTGATTAATTTTCATTAGTGCTATAGTTCACACTTCTAAGGCCTTAATTTATGTTTGCACTGACATAGATTGGTAGATTAACTTACCCTAAGTGTTTAAGTGTACAAAGACTCCTGAAGAAGCAGCACGTTTTTTATCAAGATTCATTTGTGTCTCTTATTCAGAAGTGCTCAAGTAGTATGAACAGGGGATTCATGTATTCAATGGAGTCTCAATTTAATCTACCAGTTTTACCTTTGCTATCCCAGTACTTTCAGAAGGCACTATACATTGAGCAGTCATATACGGAGGACCAAAAGGAAATTGTCACGTACCTTCAAAAAGCTGTCAGAGAAATAAACCTCTTTTGTAGCAGGTTGATCTGATATGATTCACTATGCAAAATCTTGATTCATAATTAAAGATGACTTGGTACCACTGGTGGCGTGTCCATTTGAGGTGTTACTCTTATCATAACAATGATACAAAGGCATTTTTCTTTTGATTAGTAGACATACTTGTTCCTGTGTTTTAGTTTCTTAATTATTGCAAGGTTTGAATTTGGCAAGGTATATCTGATTGGGGGAAGGCCAATAGCCTCACTCACTAGTATTTAGACGACAAAGTTTCTCAAGTATATCATCATTCCTGAATGATTGATTAATGAAAATGACATACAAGCATTTAATCAACATCCACAAAAAAGCATATTTACTCTATGTAAGTGTACATGTTTTCAGAAAAGAGAAAAGTTCTTTTGATTCTTAGAATACACTTATTTCCAAGTAGAATTCTAAGTCATTTAACGTGGAAAAACCATTTCTAGATCTTAATGTTATTAAAACCAGTACATCTTAATTTGAGGCAGTTCTGTGGCAGCACTTTTCAATTTCTGCACACACAGTTTTTAAAATTCTGTACTTTTTAAGTGTGTAAATCAGAATGTTTCCAGATGTATTAGAATCTCTAGGTTGGCCTAGATATCAGACCGTGCGTCATAATGATTAAGAAAAGCTTGTTTTAATCCTGAAAGATGATGTCTTCTTCCTGTGATGTGTGATTTGCTGCAGTCATACACAAATCAGGGTTACAGTATACTCTTAGGATTAATTTAACATGTTTACTCTCCAGTCCATAAACACTAGCCATCTCAGTTAAGAGTTAACAAATCATTCGGCTTTTCTCCATATCATGTTGTTCAAACAATACTGACTGCTATTTTAGGCTGAAGATGACATCGGTTTAAACTTGATGGGAAAACAATGAAACATGCTGTTAAGCTATTCTATCCCACATTAAGTGCAGAAACTTAAGAATTAAACGGTGAATGGGATGAGTGTTTTAGTTTTTCAAATACCTTACCAATATGCATGTAAACTTTATTTAGGGCCAGTACTAATAAATACACACATCTGAATGTTCAGGAGAGCTGTTCAACATCAATCTGATTAGAATTAAACCTCCAAATGTTAAGGTTAATGAAAGGGCCTATCACTTGGCCTATTGAATCCTTTAGTATTTAATTGATTCCAAGGATCTTAAAGGAAGACAGAGTATTGGCTTTAACAACATGGCTGGGTAGCTTGTTCTATACCTTTGGGTCAAGAAGTGCCAACTGTTCACAGTTTTAAATGCATGTTAAAAAAGCTATGTAGAGAGATTTAGACCATACAGGCTTTTTGCAAGCTCAGAAATGTTTGGTAATGCCTGACACTTGTATGCAATAATATTTTAGCAGACACGTGACACTTGAGGGGCTTCTGTGTAGAATACCATGATCTTTTTTGTCATTACATGTATTATGAGGAAAAGAAATCCCAATTGCTGCCATATTTTTGGGTTTGAACCCTTGTGAAAATGTTTTCAGATGTTTTTGCATCAATGCTGAAGAAGCCTTACCCTGTTTTGTAATTAATGTTTGTAGTTTTTGAGCTTGAACCACCGGTAGAGGATGTAGTCCAAGCAAATGTGGTCCAGGAGTCCTCACAGCCTCCTCCTGGTAGGTATTATTTCTGTAGCAGGTGTGATTTCAGCTTGCTGATGTGTTTACCCACTCTATATATCTCAGCAGGAGACTGCCAGTGCAATTTTAAGGAAGCGGGCTTTAACAGAAGAGGTTACGCTTTAGGTTATTTCACAGGGTTCAATACCTTTACATCTTTACGTAACTAGACCAAACTTATCCTGGGATTGTAAATAAGATGACTCTCTTCCTATTCATCATTTACTACACCAGAGGATCCCCAGCCTGGAGGCCCACAAACCTGTTGGTTTTCATTGCAACCACGTTAATTACAGCCTTAATTGAGCTAACCTTTCTAACTGCTTCATCCAGTTGTAGGGTTGTGGGGGAGCTGGTTCCTATCCCAGCAAGCAATGGTTGGAAGGCAGAATACACCCTGGATGGGGCGCTAGTCCATCGCAGTAGACGCATTGACACGAACACACACTCACACCAGGGCCAGTTTTCTCAGATGCCAGCTAACCTGCCAGTGTGTCATTGGACTTTGGGAGGAAACTGGAGCAGCCAAAAGAGACCCCACAGAAACACATGGAGAACATAAAAAAACTCCATGCAACAGCATCCAAGGAAATGATCCTGGGTCCCCAGTGCTGTGAGACAGCAATGCTAACCACTGCATCATCATGTCTCCCAGTGTGGAATATTTGCCAGTTGTTTTCCTACTCAGAAGTTTGGAGTTTTATGTTCTGAAATGCAGTGATGGTGGGATCAGCTCCTGCTCTCCTGCGACTCCGAATTGGATGAAGCAGTTAGGAAATAGATGAATGGATGAAAGTGCAGTGGTTAAAACATTGACTCCAACATGCTTGAAAGCTGAAGACAAATTAAATTACTAATGTACCTAACTAATGAGGTTTTCAACCTGTGTTGGCGAGAGCTGGGCTGGAACACAAAGCAGCAGATGTGTGGGCCTCCAGGACTAGGATTGGAACACTCTAGTAAATCTACACTATTCACCACACTGTTAACTACTCGAATGTATAATTGTGCGTTAACTGCATTACATAACAGGCAGATAAATTACTTCTTCAGCTGAATTAAGGGGGAAGTCCTAGGAGGCCAGATTGTGAAAACCCAAGACAATTTAGTCGGGACACTAGATATCAGCAGTTACCTCAAACTACTAAGAGAAGTAAAAAAATAAAAAATAAAAGAAGCCTCTACCATTTCCATCAGGATAAAGGAAAGATTTTCCCTTAGACTGTAGAATCCTCCTTATCTCCGTCATCAAAAGCCATTTTACACTACCTGGTTTTTCAGACTAGCATTTCCTAACTTTTAACACAGAAATGTTGCTCCTCCTTCCTGTCTCTCAACATGTTCTAACTCTGTTGTCAAGAGGCCACAAAAGGCACCTTGCAAAGGATGGTCTGGGATTTCATACAGGCATGTTGGTTTGGGGGTGGTGTGCTTTGCAGATAAGCTTGCAGAGGAGCAGGATGGTGAGGAGGAAGAACTGGCAGACTCTGTGGTGGAGGAAGAGGTGGAGGAGGCTGCGGTCGAGGAGGTCCAAGCAGAGGATGCGACGGAGCTCGAGGATGAACCCCGATACTCCGAGCCAGCTGCAGAACAGGACGCAGAGGCAGAGGAAGTGCATCCGGCCGAGGAGGAGGAGGAGGCGGCAGTGGAGGAGGTTACCCCCGAAGGGGAGGAACAGTTTGAGGAGGGAGGCCAACTAGAAGGAGAAGAAGAAGAACTGGAGAGAATGTATGAGGAGGAGACAGTTCCTCCATTCGAGGAAGAAGAGGCAGTAATGCCTTTGGAAGCAGAGGAAGAGCCTAAAGTGCCTTTGGAAGCAGAGGAAGAGCCTTTGGAAGGAGAGGAAGAGCCTGAAGCACCTTTGGAAGGAGAGGATGAGCCTTTTGAAGCCGAGGAAGAGCCTGTAGCTCCTTTGGAAGCGGAGGAGGAGGAGTCTTTAGAAGCAGAGGGAGCTGCTCCCGAGCTGCCTGAGGAAGCGGAGGCCACAGCTGCCGGTGAGGCGGTGGAGGTAGGGGAAGAGCACGCTGAAGAGAGCAGGCCGGCGGCAGAGGCGGTGCAGGAGGCTGTCCAGGCTGAGGAAGACCACGGTGAAGGAGGTACGGAACCTTCCATATCTACCAAAGGCAGGGTTCATCTCTTTTGTTGAATGTTATGTGGAATTTTTAGTATGCTCAGCAAAAGAAAGCCTCAGAAACAGCAAATGGAAACCGTCGCTATATTAATATTAATGATAATTAAAATTAATAACAGTCATATTTACCTTTTTCAATTTCATATTGATTTGTAGATTCGGCAAGGTTTAAAATCTAGTATCGTTGAAGCAGTCAAACTTCAATTGTGTTCCATGGCTGTTGTATCCACGGTGTCATTCTCTTATCTTCTCACAGTTGAGGAAATGGAGGAGGTGCAGACAGAAGAAGAATATTCAGGTAGTTCTTTCTAATGAACTTAGCAGGGACATTTCATTTTTTTTTCTTCTTCATACATGAAAGGGGATACCCAGCACAATTTATGTATTCACATAAATTGGTATGGCAAATCAATAGCGGGACATACTGTATAAGCATATTAAAGAAACATGTTTCATTTATATTGTAGAGAAATGTTAGTATTGACGTTTAATTCATCAGGGTAACATGGACAAAGGCATTTAGCTTCTGGATTTGATGCTGCAAGGCTCTCTCAAAAATTTGATGAAGAATAATGTGGGAACATTTGGCAAAAGTGGACACTGAATGCAGTGAATTAACCTTGATCCACTGTATTAAAGTGATTAAACTTTTTATTAATTGCTTTATTAATCTTGGTGTGTAAACAATTAAATCATATGTTTCTGAATAATTAATATTATTAAAATTCATAAATTATATATTTTTTCATTTTATACTACAACAAAATACCCAGACTTCTACCTTATAAATTCTCAAAACATGTTTCATATCATCTTAAATTCTAGAATATGAGTACAGCAAATCCCAGGATGATCAGCAATTTGAAGGTACGCTGCAAATATATTGTATTGCATTGAGACTGCTTGTTGTTTCTGACTTTTGTAGTTGTGGGAATGATGCGAGTACTATTAAGAGTGACGAGTGTTTTGTGTAATATGTGATTGTGTCCTCTAAGCCTTTTACCTTTTTAAGTTCCCTTTGGGACATCCATCCGTTTGGAGTCCCTTCTTTATCTTAAGAGTGCTTTGGTGAGCTGGAGCCCAAGACACACAGCACAAGGCAGAACATTACCTGGACAGGACACTGTTCTATTGAAGGGCACGCATGCACGGACACACATTCGTTCATTCACACACTTATAGAGAATGCAGTTGAACCTGGACATCATGTCTCTGCACTGTTGGAAGACACTGGAGCATAAGGAGAAAACCCACTAGGATAAGGAGAGCATGCAAACTCCCAAGGGCTTTGAAACAGCAGTAATAATCAGCATACCTCTGTCCTATCCTCATTGTGAAACAATACAATAATTATTTTGTAGTTAATACATCTTGAAAAGCTATTGACATTAGATTTTTTTCTCATTGTAGACCAAGAGACTCCAAGTGAAGACGTCCAAGGTTTCTTTTTTTCCACTATTTAAGTGTTTTACTTACTAAATGCTGCAGTTTGTCTATCCTGTGTGCATTGAAAACAAACACCTCACTTATAACACTTTAAAACTGCAAGTTTTGATATTTAAATATATTGAACTTTTTGTGCGCATTTCAATATTTTTAATTCCAGATTGTTTAAAATGTGAATAAAATTAAGTTTTGAAAAGAAAAAGTAATACAACTTTTTCGATGAAAAAATAGATGTGATGTAAATATTGGTCTGAGACCCACATTTGTGATCAAAAATTGCTTACAGTTTCTGCACTTTCCACTGTTTCTGATCGGAGAAAGTGGTTTGCACTTACCTGCACTTTTTTTCACAGATTCAGCCCTGGTCCCTGAAAACGAGGAAGATGATGGTAAGGGTCATCATCTTCTCTTGGGTTCTACATTACACACTTTAGAATTCAGTGGTAGGCGGGAAAATTATAGTAATCTAACAATTTTTAATTTCATTGCTTGTAACAGTCTATGGATCTCAGAGCATGGATGTGGAATCTGAAATCCAAGGTTTGTTTTGACTTGGTATGTTGTAGAATGTTGTAGATACCAATAGTCATCAACATTTTGTAGTGCTACTTTAATCTTAACCTGTTCTTGACTTCACTACTAATATCACACATCTATTATAATGTGCTTATAACAATATTGCCATTGTAATTTGTTCTTAACTAACTATTCTCTTTATGCCCGATACTGTGAACGTTGGTGTTCGGCTTACCAAACTATCGTTCGTTGAGTTCATGTATAAATTAATGTGGATGTTATCTAATATGTCAGGATGCATACAAATCCAGAGACTGGCCATTAGGGTGTGTCATTTAAGTCTGGATATAAACTCTTTGACAGATTTTTAGTGCTATGAGGTTTGTTATACAGTACATCTTGAACTGTTAAACTGTTGTTTCAGCTGCAGTTCCTCTTCCAGAGCCAGTCTTCAATGAAGAGTACCCAGGTACAATTTTTGTTTCTTCTGTGATTGCCCATTTACTATATAATCAGTAGCTGATAGCTGTTGAAATTGTAAATATTTTCCTATTTGTATCCAGTATTGGAAATAATTGGAAAGAAATGCAATGATATTTTTCTATCATTTTCTAATTTTAGAATCTCATCTCCTGTTCAAACTAATGTGTGCTCCTCTATGATCATATTGTACGTTGATACAATGCATTGTAATTTGGCTGCCCTGCAAGCAATCTGAAATTGCCACACCAGGACAAGGCCTATGAAATTACTGACAGAATTACCACCGCAGTATAGAATACCGCCTCCATGTTTCAGCAGGATTATATCTGCAAAACTATGACTAATGTCCGGACAAAATTCCCAACCTCTTCTGAGCTGATTATAACCACCTCTTGGTATGGTCTCAGTGTGGCAGATGACTATCCACTCTATCTCATTCTTACTTGTCCCTTTTGTTTTAGTATGATCAATGTGTGCATGGAAGTACCTAAAAATAAAATGTGTGTTCTGTTGTACATATTATTCATAGTAATCTCATGCTGATAAAATCAAATTGCTTTACTCTGAAGCAAAAACAGGTTTTGACTTGAGTGTACAAATTCTTTTGGCAGGCAGTATCTCTGTCAGGGTAAATGTTAATATATTGACACAGGTGTATTGTGATTCATTTCATTTGGGTAGGAGCTGGGATTCTGTAATGTGTTATTTTCATTTTCTGTTTTCCTCCTGACATTATTTCCAAAACTTTGCGAAATACTTTTTACGTATTTATTATTTTTTGTAAAATTAAAAAGAATTGCTTACACATTATATAGTACTGTATATATATATTGGATTATGTACAGAGTGATGTAATGTGTGTTTATGCAGTGGTCATATCAAAGTGCTTTGTAATGAAGCAAGTCATAAGCAAAACCAATACAGATGTATACACGTAAATTAACACAGTAAATTAAACGTTTAATTCTGAATGGGACAAGATTTAAAAGTGTTGACTGACTTGCAAGATCTGATGTGGGCAGCGAGGTCCCTCCACAGCATTGAGGCAGCAGAAAGCACAGTCCAGTGTTCAAAGCGCAGTGTCCAGTGGGTCTTGTGCATATAGTAAATGATTGAGCACACAGTAAACAGTTCATTGATGTTGTCAGGAGCCAAGCTATTTAAGCCCTTAAAAGTGAGCAGCCGTATTTAGAATTGTATTCTGAGCCAGTGCAAGGCTGCTAAAGCACATTGAATGTGCTCATACATTTTAGTTTGTTCAGGTTCCATTGTGCCAGCAGGAATGGTATTAACATTAATTAAGCTAAAAAGAAAGGAAAAAAATCATGTTGACATGTTTACAGATATCCCAGTCTGATACAAACTGGTATAACCAAGCCTACTAAAAAGAAAAATGTAAACAAACATTTTGTTAAATATGAGCTGCCAATGCAGAAATTCCTGACAGGAGTATTTGAACTGATTTCGACGTCATCATTAGCCAAACTATTGCGGAGTTGATGATGCGATCTAGCAGAATATTGGTTTTGTCAGAGTTCAGTTCTAAAATATTTTTTGCCTCCATTTTTTTAGTATTGTCTAAACCTGTGTGAGAAGTCAATTAATTGCCTTTAAAATTAATTAATGTCAGCCTTGTGCAAACATATATTTGGTGTGTCACCAGCATTAAACAAAAAGCTGATGCTAAACCTAAAAGATTCTGACGCAATGATAACCAATAGACAGTAAAAAAGAATGGAGTTGAGCACAAGAAGAATACCTGCTTTAATATTGTGATAGAGAAATTCTGTCTGAGAAAATACAAAGTACAGTTCATTTTTGTTTAGCGCTCCACTTGAGTGGAGGGGAAGACACCTGTTGGAAATCCTGGTATTAAATTTGCTGCTGAGTGAATTGCATGGCCAACACCTCCCTTATTTGTTCCAGAGGGTTGCTGCTTGTCATTTCTCATCATGGTGGTGTGTGAAAGGCTGTTGATTAAAATCGCATTCAGCCATTCAAAAAACATTTCAGTTGTCTTTCACTTGTTGTGTTTCTGTCCCTATCTAGCTGATGAAGTCGTCGACAGCGCTGACAGACACCCTTACGGTAAGCACTAAAATGATTCAGCTCACAAACGTACTGTCATTAATGTGATGTGATACTGTATATAGTGATCATATCAGGGTGCTTTATAATAAAGCAAATCATAAGCAAAACCAATACGGACATGTAAACATAAATTAATACAGTAAATTAAACAGTTAATTCCAAATGGGACAGGTTTGAAAAGTTCTGACTAACTTGCAAGACCTGATTCAGGTGAGGAAACCTCAGAAATGCTATAATATGAATAGATAGCAAATGGTTGGAGCTATGTGAGATGGAACGTAATCTGCAAACAAAGGTCCGAAGTGTTTCGCAGTTTTCTTCAAACATGACATCTGTGTTGAATAACTCAATGTCAGCAGCCATATCACTCTGTAAATCACATCTGACCACTCAGTGAAGCTCAGCAAGTGTGAGCCTGGCCAGTACTTGGATGGGAGAAAAACTGAGTCCTAATGGCAAAGTATAGCGATGGGGACGATACTGCTATACTGCAAAAAGGTGCCGTCCTTCAGATTAGATTTTTTTTTATTAAAAGAAGAACTGTGGTCTTGAAAAATCCCAGGGTGTTTCTCAAAAAGAGTAGGGGTGTTACTCCGGCGTCCTGGCCAAATCTCCCCCTGGCCTTTACCAGTCATGGCCTCCTAATAATCCCCTTCTATGAATTGGCTTCATCACTTTGTTCTCCTCTAATAATAATAATAATAATAAAGAAGAAGAAGTTAAAGGTTTATTCCATGCTGAAAAGAGAAGAACGGAGAAGAAAGAATAATAATGATAACTAAAATGAAATGTATTTCACATAACTTTTTATCTCATGTAAAGTTTGTAAACATTTGCCAGCATGTCAAAATTTGCCTTTTTGTTTTTCATGTGGAGCAGAAGATACCACTGAAGATGCAATAGATACACAAGGAGGTAGGGCCTTGCTTGAGGGAGGAGGCCAGCTGATGTGGGCCCAGTGTTCAAGGGCATTGGCTGGTCTGATGTTAAAAATAAATGTTCTTTGTTCTGGCTCCATACTCTATATCTCTGATCATTGAATTTACTTACTCTTATCGTCTTAATTTGGAAGTCTTCCATATGGAGATTAATATCAAGATGCTCTGTTCTGGATTTCCTTCAGGGACAGAAAACAATAATTTTACAACATCTAAACATCATATCAGTTTCTAATTCCTAAACATATGGTCCAAGTGTGGTCTGAATAATAGGCTGCTGGAGAATTAACTGATTAATCCACAATTAATGGGAATCGGCTAAAGTATAAGAACATTTCCGTGTCCAAACGTGTCCAAATGAGTAGAGTCTGTTGGGCACCTATTTAAGCCTGTTTGGCAAGAGTGTCAAATCCAGACATCAAATACTTTAATAAAACCCAAAACATTCTGAACTACGAGTAATTGCTTTTAAAAATGTCATGAGAATGGCTGGTTGCTAAAACACAGAATTGTCTTATTCATAACATATCAAAGCAGATCATGTTGTACAACATGCTTGATTAAATTTTGTTATTCAATTTGTGCTTTCAGAATATGTGGTGGAATCGGAGCCTGAGTATACTGAAGGTAAAGAGTTACAACATTTTGTTTTCTTCTTTGGAAATTGGGTGGGATGACAATTCTGAAATTTAGAAATTGGTCTGCTTTTAGTTCCTAGTCTCTAGCAGAACAGACAGTTGTCAGTGTGGAGGGTATCGTGTTGATCTTCATTATGACAATGTGATGCAATACATTTGCTTAATCTGAAAGCGATGATTAAATTCAGTTTATTAATGTCCCTAATAATACTCTAAACCAGAATTATCGGTTGTTTTTGCTACTGCATGTTCTCTGTAAACTGTTACCCAAACGCACTATAGGGCAGCTCCGCCTTAAAAAATGCTTTCACCATTGTGCTAATGAGCAAAGCAAGGTTTTGAGATGATTGATATTTCATGCGGATCTTCTTGATGACCGATATGACCAAACAGCACAAGAAGGAACAAACGAGCTTAATTTGTATCACTAGTGGTTTGCTTATGTATCCTTCCTCTGTGTTACAGAGGAAGTACACCATCCAGACGAAAGCGTTCACTCTGAGCCTCAGCTGTCAGAGGAAGCAGGTATGTTTATTCATGTTCATGCTTCTCTGTGGTTAGGGAATCTGTGAGTAGAAATATACAGAGGGAAAAGTTCTTCCAGATGCCCGGAAAGTTTGCTACTTGTTATTAATCTGTTTTCATATTACCGTTTTATACTAATTTCCTGTGAAGTTATGAAAGTCAGGTTTTTTTTTTCTCTAGGTTTATAAACCATGCATCAGTAACATTATACAGAATGCTATATCAATGTGGTTACGTTTCTTGATAAAATTCCAGTGCATTTGTTTTTTAGAAACTCAGGAATGGAGCACAGAGGAGCTGTCCGAATCTGGTAAGACCAATAAAAAATGAGCTAAAACCAATGTTAGAATCATACTTTTTTTGTTAAACCAAAAGAAAAAATCTTGCATGGTTTTTGTCATTGCAGGGGAGTGCTTCTGCTACTCAAATTTGTGAAAAACAGAAATAAAAAATATAAATGGGGAATTCTGTAAATCAGTTTATTATTTGACAAATATGACTCTGCTCTTTGCAGTCCCATTAAAATTACAGTATTTTGTTTTTTTAAAATTGTTTTAATCAAGGTGCATTATCCAATCCATAACTCATTTTGTTGTGATAGTTTTTTTTCCTATTTCATTGGGGATATGAATAGAACTTCACAGCACCCTCTGGGATTTGTAAACAGGATCCAGTTCAGTTATATGCTATGTTCTAAAAAATACATATAAGTAATTGTACCTTTTCCTGATCTTTGGGGTGTTTTATTTTGAGAACTATAAATTAATATCACTGTCCTTGCTTAACAGCACCAGAAACTCATTCAGAAGATGATGCAGAAGGTAAGTTCAAGTGAACAGAGAATTGTATGTTTAGTAACATACAGTACATCCTTTTTAGATGTGTATATATACCTTTAAACTCATAATACTATTGTAATTTTTGTTTTATAATTAATAATTTATGTTGTTTTAATGTGGTAATCAGCAGCCTTTCAGAAGGAGCGTGCCAAGAGGTAGCTTATGCTCCTGTTTTTACGGGTTTGTTTCCGTAATGACAATACTAGCCGTACTTACATTTTGATTAAATGTATAATATCTAAAATTAATAAATTAAAATGCTCTTAATTACAATTAAGTTTGGTCCTTGCAGAAAAAAACAGTTTCGCTGACATCAAAACTGCCTGGTTTCATTAAAAAATAGAACATCTCGCCAAAGCGTTGGGCATCTTGGAATCTGACAGAAAATTGGGATGTCAGTCCACACGTGTACATTTCAAACTCGGCAACATGGGAGTGTGCAATGTTTGGAATGGTCTTTAAGATGTCTTGAGAAATGCATTCCTGATTTCGAAAACACCCACGACAGTTTGATCTGCACAGCGGAATTATGCAGAACAGTTGATGTAATTTGTGACCATGAAATAGTTTCAGCATTGCCGTTTCACTGCAAGTTCTCTCTTTCCTGCAGAGAAGAATCATTGAGGTTCATTTTACCTGAACATCCTTCTTTGATTCACTCCTTCATTATGATTAAAATGAAAAAAAGATAACTTTGACTTGTGCTCAGGCTTCCCCTCGATTTCACTCACTGTTAAATATGGCTGCTTCCACTTCATGTTTGTATGTGGTCCGCTTCATAGCGGTAGTTTCAGAATATCCCTTTGTGTACAAAATGGCCCCCAGTCTGAAATCTGTTATACGAGTTAGCAAATAACCCTAACCCGAATCTCCGCCCTGTGACAGCTCTGTTTATTTCTCCCAAGTTTTTAAAATTCCCAGGTATCGAGCTCATTACATCCAAAAGAATATTTAAAGTAACATGAGGCTTCAGAAATAATCAGTTGAAGTTTCTAACTAAAACCTTGAAATTAAAGCCTTATTTGTTTGGCATCAGCAGTAGCATATTTTGTTCAGTCGTACACCTGATTACCTCTTCTACTTCAGGAGCCTTGGGACCTGAGATACAATGAAATTTTGTCATTTGTTTCAGCTCATCACCCTGATGAACCTGCTCATGATGAGCCAAGCCCAGAAGGTATGTGTTAATTTAATGCAAAGGAGCAAGTAAAGGTTTATTCCATGCCGAAAAGAGAAGAAAAACACAGTTTTGGCTGTAGAGCCTTCTTCAGCAGTCACATGTTAATGTTTTGATACTTTATTAATATTGTTTTTAAATGTATTAATACTTGTATGTACTGTAAAATTAATACTGTATTCATTTGATATTTTCTGATCAAATTCAGTGCTAAAGCTGGTCCAATATTGATCTCTGTGATACTAATCTATCTCAGATAGCTTAAGATCACAATACTTTACACTGCATCTTATCATCGTCATTGTTGTAATTAATTATTTTGCTTTTTTTAACAGAGGAAGTTATTAAGGCAGAACAACATTTTCAGGGGGAACCTTCGGGTAAGTTTTACTTAATATTAAATGTAGTTCCAGTGTTATTGAAAATGTAAAGCCTTATTTCCTCAACTTAAGGTTATGGTTTATAACTCTTAGAAGGATGTCAGAGGAGCTACTTTGGTATCTGATTTCTAAATGATATACTCCATATCACGTGAAGACTTTGGGTTGTGGTTGACTTCTAAAAACCTAGAGTTTCCACAGTTTAAGTCTCTCCAGTGAAGCCCTAATGCATGCATTTTTCTTTTATTTGAAAAATAATTGTATGAACTTAACTTTAGAAATGAAAAAAAAAGTAGTCTTGAATGTATTCAGTTAATAGGTCTGGTAGGCATAGGTCCTTTTCCTCTTCAGAAGGAAAAACAGCCAAATGTTTGAAACACTTGGGCAGGCTGGCTTGATGGTGCTCTTGGATACATCATTCACAGATGGTGCATTAAGGTAGATTGTGTTTGATGGGAAGGCTGGGTCAAGAGTCACCTCTAGCCCTGCGTGTTGTTCTAATTTTGGCCTGAGCCGAGAGTTAATGTTAATAGAGCATGTGTATGAAGTGTAACAGACGATGGTGGCATCTCTCTTAGTCTTTGAAAGAAATCTTCTGAAGTCTTTTTTCACACGAAGCAACACACATACACCACTGCTAACAATTTAATTACCTAGCATACACATACATAAATTAACCCTTGTCTCGCATGCTTTTTAGCTTTACTTTCTTAGCATTAGCTCTGATCAGCATTTTTTAACTCCATTTTCCCCAAAGTCAGCTGCCGAGATCTTACGTTATACAAAATTTTGGAGATGTCATTGAGGTATTTGCATGCATTTTGAGTTTGGAGATGTACCTTTTTACATAACAATCATCCGTTTAAGTTGTTAAGAGGGTGTGACTTGTTTGCATTGCTCAGTTTAAATAATTTTCATACGCTTCTGACGAGCCTTTACGAAAGTGAGTTAAAGCTGTTGAACTAGTCTGGAACCGATAGTAAAATCTCTAAAAGTAAAACAGGTTGCTTTGTTTTACAAGAAGTAAATCTTGCTAATTATTTCTTTTAAAACTTGGCTTTTGGCACAGAAGCAATGACCAAGAGTCACATATATTTAGGAACAGTCCAGTGACTTCTTTTATGTCGGAATTAGCAGTGAATTTACACAACAGTGCTCTTTACCTGTGACTGTATTAACACCATACTTGACATGCAAGACTAAAAGGCATTATCTAATTGTAACAGATTAATGTAGTAAGGCTAGGCTTGGTCAGTTCAGAAACAGAAAAGGCTTTTTGCTGAAAGTGGTATAGATGGACCCGTAGGTGCCAGTCTTTTGTGGGGCAATTCCAAACCAGTTCTTTAGCACAACACTGATGTAAGACCATATTTTCAATTCAAGCACCATTTTTTCCTGGGAGAACTTTATTTTATGGCACAGTCCATACAATCCATACAACAATACAAGAAGGAATACAGACATTGCCAAGAGGGTAAATGGTACAGTAGTTTTACAGGGTAGTAACTATACATTGTTTGAAAGTGCGATTGCAGTGGGGGTGAAAGATTTCCTGAATCTGTTACTTTTACACCTGGGGGCACAGAGGCATCTCCTCTCAGATGGGAGAAGTGTAAATTCACAACAGAGGGGGTGAGACACACACTCTATAATGCTCTTGGTATTCGAGCTCCTAGCCATGTAAATGGAGCCTGTTAACAGTGGTGTCCTGGTGAATTCCATTTCAGAATACATACGGCCTTCATACATTTCCTGGTGTCTAATATGAAATGGACACCAAACCCCATACCCAAAGCATCCTGCACTTCAGCCCAGAGTCTATTTGAATCCCTGTCTATATTTGAGTGTATCATAATCTGACATAGCAAGCAGCCATATCACCCTGCAGCTCTCAAATGGCAGCCCACTGAAGCTCAGCAGGGTTGAGCCTGGTCAGTACCAGGATGGGAGACTTCCTGGGAAGTGACAGTTGCTGCTGGAAGTGGTGTTATTGGGACCAGCAGGGGTCCTCATGCCCCAGTATAGTGGTGGGGACACTATACTGTAGTGGGCGCCGTCTTTTGGATGAGATGTTAAACCGAGTTAAAACCGGTCCTGGCTCTCAGTGGTCATTAAAGATCCACTGGCATTTCTCGATAAGAGTAGGGAGTTATCACAGTGTCTGGTAACTTCCACTTCCACACGCTACCCATAGCATGTGTGAATAGCAAAACCATCAGACTGTAATACAATTTGTTTACCTAAAGGAAAACAGCCAGTCTGAATTGTGATCTTCTTTGTGATTTTGCTGCCTTTTGAGTTGTTGCCAGAAATCTGCTGATGTACTGATATTCAGAGAAAGCAGAACCCTCTATTTTGGCTATATGTTGGCTATTGCTGCTGTAAAATAGAAATCAGCTGCCCCTGTTCTTTTGTGCCTTTCTGTAGCGCATTTGCCTTTTTGCTCTACAACTGCATAGCAATTTGGCCACTGAAATTTTCACCACAAGCCTTTGCAAAAAATTGATCTGCCTAACTCCTCTTTGCACAAATGTTGTGAATGAATTAATTTACCAGCAGCCATATCACCCTGCAACTCACAATTGGCAATCCACTGAAGCTCAGCAGGTGTGAGCCCGTTCAGTACCTGGATGGGAGACTTCCTGGGAAAAACTAAGGCTGCTGCTGGAAGAGGTGTTAGTGGGGGCCAGCAGGGGGCGCTCACCCTGCGGTCTGTGTGGGTCCCAATGTCCCAGTATAGTGACGGGGACACAATACTATAAACAGGCGCCATCTTTCGGGTGAGACGTAAAACCGAGTTCCTGAGGGTGTTTCTTGAAAAGAGTAGGGGTGTTACCCCAGCATCCTGGCCAAATATCCCATTGGCCCTTACCAGTCATGGCCTCCTAATAATCCCCATCTCTAAACTGGCTTCATTACTCTGTTCTCCTCCCCACTGAGAGCTGGTGTGTGGGGAGCGGACTGGTGCACTATGGCTGCCATCGCATCATCCAGGTGGGGCTGCACATTGGTGGTGGTGGAGGGGGTCCCCATTACCTGTAAAGCGCTTTGAGTGGAGTGTCCAGAAAAGCGCTATATAAGTATAAGCAATTATTATTATTAATGTGTATGCAGTTTATTTTGGAATAATTTAGGTTTAGTTGTGAGAGGTTGAGCTCTGTGGCGCAGACCAATGTTGCTTCACTTTATATTGGGCATTTAGGATAATTCAGAAATATTCAAATAGATTATTTGTTAATGAGAACCTAATGTCATCTGGACTGCTTCTTTGATGAAACCATACACATTGAGATATGTGTTGTATGTTTGTATTTTAAGTAGAAGCCAGACCTCGATCGGGCTGTTAAATTTGACACTTGCTAAATAAAAAAATCCTTTAAAACAAATGGGCCTGAGACCAGTTTACTCTGATGTTGATTTGTTCTTATCCACTAATTTAAAACATTTTTGTTGACCAGTACAGACCATCTTGTTTAATTCTGTTATTGGTGAAGTTCAGTTTGTTTGTCTTTAATTTTTATACAGTCAGTATAATTAGTTTACATTACATCCCACATGTACAGTAGATTGTGAGTATTGTGTACAGCTTTAATACCATTGCTAACATTTTCTATAATTGTTACAACCCCAAGTGTCTAGGGGTAAAGGGGTGTAACATTTAGGATGGGTCTGGATCCAGGTGGGTTTCTGGTGTGGGACTTAGGAAGCGTGACAACAAACGTTTGGTGCAAAAGTGATATATTTTAAGAAAGTGAATAATTGACTGGTACGTATACAGGACTCAATAACACACAGGGAAAAGGAACGTGAGTGGTGCCAAAGGAAAGAAAATAAAACCAAACGGATCTAGCCAATACAGTGAGTTCTAACTAACCCAAACAAAAATAAAAAGGTCTTTGGCGTCTTCATGCGCTCTAACCTCCCTACACTGAACTAACCAGAACCAAAATACGCGAGTGACACACACCCCTAACCTAGTGTGTCTAGACAAAACAAACCTACGTGTGCACGATGAAACCCGACGACCTTGCGTACCTTCTCCCCTGGTGTAAAAGTTCACAGTTAACAACACGACACAAGTGAACCAATCGCACGGTTATGGGAAAACGAGTAATACCGAAAAAAATACATGAGCAAGGAATAAGGTAACAAATGAGCACAAGCAAGGTAAAAAAGGAAAGTAACAAGTGCGGGCAAAGGAATAACAAAACACAGGTAATCAAAACCAACAAACGAAGCCGAAGCTAACAACGAACAAACACGAACACTAGCGAGCAAGTGCAAACACGACTCGAAGCTAACCGAAGTTGAGCCGAAGAGCGAATGGAGTAGAACTTCTGTCAAACCTGTTCCTTTGCAGCCTACACATGCTGAAGCAGTTATGTGATTCAACTATGATATAAATGTGATCATTTGATAGTTATTTTTTTTCTTATTAGTATATTTTTATATTAAGGCCTGGTCATGTTATTTCTCTTTCATTGGTAATAAAAGCATAGAGGCTGCCTGTACTGTATCTCATTGAGCAAGGTACCCTGATTTCGATAGTCCACATAGCTTCAGAAATGGGTCCCAGCTTTCTTGTGGGGTTAACCTGTGATGGACTAGTCTCTGAAGGAAGCCTTGCACTCTGTCTTCTTAGTGTTGCCAAAACTGAACTATTCTCCAGCGCAGTAAGCCACTTGACTTACAAAGCATTTCCGTCTTTAATTTAGCTGGTTTAGCTGTAGAGCCTGATCCACATGTTTGCTGATAGTACTATGACATATTTGGTCTTTTAACATCAAGCATGTTCATTTTCTCCTGGTGGTCTACAGTTGTTTGACATTTTAATAAGAACCTTCCTCTGATGTTATCTGTTTAGGTGTGACTATATTAAATATATCTGTCGAAGATGCCAGAACTTTTTTTTTAAACACTAGTAATTGGAACGTAATTGGAAGTGTGTGTAACATTAGCTGTCACATTGGAGATTTCATTATGTCAGTAAGTTCAGCTTT